CGTTTACTTTTCCTAACAAGCCAAGCTAACATTTTAGCTCGTTAAGTTAATGAGCTAGCTCAAGCCTACTCACAAGCTAGTTTGTGAGCTAAACAAGGCAAGTACTTCAATCCCACGAGCAGCCCTACCAGTGAAGTTGAAACTATTTTGATGAACTATTTGGCAAAACACCTGATAGATAAAATTGATAAGATGACCATAATATCCTCATTTTTCTTTATTTTTCACTCCTCTCTGTTTCTTGGCCTTTTCTTCCTTATCTGTTTGGTCCCCCTGCCTTGCCCCAGGCTCCATCTCACCCCTCACCCCGCCCTTGACCTTGTGTCCCGTACCTGCCCATGCGCTTGGAGTCCCGATGAGACTGCGCCCTATGCCCCTAGTGGCTCTATATGACCGACCGCCCCAGCGAGTCCGCACCCACCCCCACCATGCGAGGGTGCGCCACGATGAGTCTGCCTTACCCTCGGTGACATTGCTCCTCGCGCTTTGGCAGCCTGGCCTAATGTCCCCTCTCCGTGCCGGCCTGGGGGAAGCTGGATGAAGCGGATATTTCAGTTTCACTAACAGTTCCTTACCTGTGAGAGCGTGATTTGTGAAGTTTCACGCCAAAGCTAGTGCCAAAAGACCTGTTTGGTAGTTGAAGGTGGAAATCAACTTCAAAAGCTGCTTCACAATTCATTCGAAACATGCCTTTAATATTGACAGCTAAAAGCTAGTTACCCCACCATTCACAGCAAGTTACATCGTGTTTAGTTGAGTGAAAGTTGAAATTTAGGGTATTATAGCACTTTCGTTTTTATTTGGCAATTAGTGTTCAATCATAGACTAATTAGGCTTAAAACGTTCGTCTCGCAATTTCCAACTAAACTGTGCAATTAGTTTTTTTTCGTCTACATTTAATGCTCCATGCATATATCGCAAGATTCGATGTGATAGGTATTGTACCATTTTTTAGGATTTTGGGTTGGGAACTAAACACGGGCTTATACTCAATTCATCGACCTAGCCCGTGTTTAGTTCCAAAAACTTTTTCTAAAAAGTGCTACAGTACCTATCACATCGAATTTTACGATACAAGCACGGAGCATTAAATGTAGAAAAAAAAAATTAATTCCACAGTTTAGTTGGAAATTACGAGACGAACGTTTTGAACCTAATTAATCCATAATTGAACACTAATTATCAAATAAAAACGAAAGTAATACAGTAGCCAAAAATCCAAACTTCGCGCAACTAAACACGGCCCTACTATCATAAATATCGGTCCATCATCAAGTAGGGATGGCCATTTTAACCGTGCGGGTGTGGGTGCGGGTACCGGCGGGTTTCGTACTCGATAGGTGCGGGTATAGCTAGAAAAATTTTATCAGCGGGTATACGAGGGTCAGGCACCAGCAGCTGTGCGGGTACAAAACTTTACCGGGCATTTAAAATACATATACGTGCATATCTATTGTATAGCATGCCAACTAGTCCATTTAATTTGGTCTAGCCATTTTTTTTCTGTAGTTAGTATGATATATTCAGTCCGCCATCATTGATCTATTAGCTTGAAGTATGATCACCGATCTATGAGGATGTTATTTTTCATGAATAGTTGAATAAGTGATTGTGTAAGGCGTTAGTTGTCACTTTAATTCTTGCGTTGTATTATTTGTATGAGTATGACACTGAATTATGAACCTGTACTGTATGGTCAGGCAACAGGTGCAAGCTGGCGCAAGACATATGTGTTGTTTACTTTCTAGTACAGTAGCCTAAGAATTTTCGGACACTAGGGAGAGCATGAGTTTTACTCTAATTTGTTGAGCCCCCAAAGAGCACTGCCACAACATTTGTAATTCAAAACTTCTTCCTACTTAATACAAAGACGCGTAAGTTTTTTGCGTGTTCGAGAAAAACATGTACTGTATGGTCACTTGTGAGCTAATGTATATTGTTCCAGTGAGCTCTATGTAAGTGAGATTAACGGATTTATTTGTTATTTAACTACAATTTATTATTATTCTATCACTTTAATTTTATTATTTGATTTCTTATGAAAATAACCGACTGGTATCCGATACCCAATGAGGTACCCAGCCGGCGCAGGCACAGATAAAGGGGGGAATTCCCTGTGTGCCATTAAAAAAGATCGCAATGCCATGTGTGCCCCTGAAAAAGTTCAGCGGTCTTCAACGCCACTGCTCTAACTTTTTCGTGCCCTCCATGCCACTTCCGTCATTTTGAGCTCTAACGTCGTTAAACTGCAGGTGTGAAAAGACGAAAATGCCCTTAAGTGTAAATATGTCATTAATATTTTTTGAGCATCTTAACGACTTCAAATGAAAAAACTCAAAACTAATAAGTTTTCTAATCTATATTCGAGATCTATAATTTTCATATAAAATTATTTTATTTAATAAAAAAAATTTAATATGAAATTTATAGATATATTAATCATATCAAATAATCTTTTTTGAGAGAATTAAATAAAAAAGTCGTTAAGATGAAAATTAAAAATTAATGATCATATTTACACTTAAGGGCATTTTCGTTTTTTTACACCCGCGTAGCTTGACGGCAAGTTAGAGCCCAAACCGATTTGAAGTGGCATGGAGGGTATGCAAAAAAGTTGAAGCAAAGGATTGAAGACGGCTGAACTTTTTTAGGAACACACAGGGCATTACGATCTTTTTTAATGGCACGTAGGGAATTGCCTTCGGATAAAGTGGGGATCTCGGGTATGCTTGCAGGCGGGTAAAGTGGGGGGTCTCGGATGGATAAATGTTTTGCGCGTGCCTTATCCGACCCACTGCCATTCGTACGTCCAAGGAGGTTTCTATCATTTTTTTCCAAACGCAGAGAGCATTTGGTATTGGTCATAGGTGGTCAGGGGTCCCTCCAAACGGATACCCGGCCCCCGTGTCGCCCCCACGCAGGCGACACGGGAGGCGAACCCAAACCCTAGTGCCTCTCTTCCTTCCCTCCCTCTCTCTAGCCGCGCCGTCGCCGGAGCGGGCCGCCGGCATGGCTGTGCGGCTTGCCGGGAGGGCGGCGGCGAGGCTCTTCTTTGCGGTGGGAGCTGCGACGGTCGAGGACGAGCTCGCGTGTGGCTTCCTGGGGCTCGGTGAGGTCGCTGAGGCTGGGGGCGGCTTCGACATCGTCGGCGGCGGTCTCCTCGCGTCGGCGACCAAATCCGGCGGTCCAAGGACGGGATCCGCGTGGATCTCCGGCTGGCAGCGCCTGGGCGGGCGCTGGGCGTCGGTGGCGACGGCTCCTGTCCATGGCGCCGCGCTATCGCCGGATCCGTGGGGTTCGGGGAGCTGCGCCTAGGGGCGCGCGCGGTGGCGGCTGCGTCGGCCTGGGGCGGGCCTCTTCCTCTTCCTCACGCTCGGCAGTGTTGGCGGCATGCACTGTAGCGGGGCAGCGGGGCGTGCCCTCGCACGAGCCTCGTGGGGCTCGGTGGGGCAACCTGCTGCGGCGCTGGCCAGTGCCCGTGCAGGCGCCGGGCGGTGGCGGGGACTCCTTTTTCCTCCTCCACTTCCCCCTTTCCTCCTCGACCTTGGTGTGGAGGCGGCGCCTATTGGGGACACTGGATCTGGCTCCACGGCCACATCCGGTGCCCTCGGGGAAGGGGGCGGCGCCCGTGGTGGGGCATGCGCCTGACGGTGGCTGGCGGAGGTCGGCAGCGTCGACAGCGGGTGCTTGTGCCGACAACGGTAGCTGGCGACGGCTTCGGCGTGCGGCAGGGTAAGTCCAGTTCTGCATGTTGCCCGGTAGGAGGGGGTGGCAGCCGACGCGTCGATGCCCCTCTGGAGAAGCTTCTGCGGGATGGCAGTGACGACGACGGTGGCGACAGGCTACGGTCTAGCATCTTGGCTCGACGTATGTGCTAGGGGCACCTCGGGCGAAAGCCTTGGCGACGGCGACGCCTGTGGGCGCCGTTTTCCTTGTTGGGGGCGTCGTGTTCTTGTGCCCCCAACCATGTCTTCCACGGGTGAAAACCCGATCCTTTCCTGGACAAGCGACGGCGACGCATTCGGCGTCGTACCCTTTCTAAAGGCGTCACTGTGGAAATTCGTCTCGGTCGTGATGTCTCCTTCGGCGGATGTCCTCCGCCTCTCGGCGCCCGATTGATGCAAGACGGCGAGTTCTGCATCGCGAAGTCGGAGCTGCTGCATCAGGGGATGTAGCTCGGCAACGATGACGCGTGTCGAACCCTCCTTCTCCGACGGCTGGGTTTTCAGCTTTAGAGGCTCGGCAATTGCCGCGGGCAGGGCGTGGGATCATGGCAGGAAGTCGGAGCTGCTCTTCGCGGGGCCGTTGAACTCGGCAACGATGACCTGCTGCAGCCTACTGCTTCGGGCCCGTTGGTCTGACATTTTTGATGGGTTGTCGGTGTTTTGCCATGGGATGTCGAAGCTGCTAGCTGCTTTGCAACTATGCTCGGCAACGATGTCTCATGGTAGTGTGTACTCTGTCGTGTTACGTGGGTGGGTAACCTTTCGTGGTGTTTGGCGCCACGCTTGGCTACCTTTTACTTGTATATAAACTTCATTCGTCTTAATTGAAAGACAGAGCTCCTGGCATTGTTAAAAAAAAGGTGGTCAGGGGAGAATGAGTACGGTTATGTGTTACGTTGGATATTCGAATGTTCAGATCCGAAACGAGTTCAAATTCAAAAGGAGGACGTGTAGATTGCAAAACCTTTGCGTACAACATCAACGGATTTCAGCTTCTCCGCCGTCTATTCCGATGGAAAAACCAATCCACCAAAAGGTAATGCAACAAAATCACGGCGATTTGGACCAAATACCTCGTACTCCCTCCGTCCCATTGAGTTTGTCGCTCGGGAACCGGGATTGTGAGAGGGGCACGGTTTTCAAACAATAAACTCAATGGGACAGAGGGAGTAGATACAAAGATAAATTTCTTTGTTCTACTGCCATGGGACAAAATCAAGAATGGATTCGTCGGAGTACACTCTAAGCTAGAAAGAATTCCGTGCCCATTCTTCGCTATCTGGGCCCGGAGAGCTGAGATGACGACAGGTACGACGGCCACCCGCTCATCGTCGTTGACGTCGTCGTCCCTGACCGGCCCATGGGGGACGCCATATGCTTCAGATACATGTCGCTGCCTCCGCCGTCCTCTGGCCCAGAAAACCCCCGGCCGTACAGCCTGAGGAACCCGAGCGACTGCACCCGCGGCTCCCACAGCGCCATGCTGCCCTCCAGCATGCCGACCACGACCGCCATGCTCGGCCGCAGGTGTGGGTCCTCGTGGAGGCAGCACAGCGCCACCTTCACCACCCTCTCCACTTCCTCGGCAACCACCCGCCCCTGTAGCCGAGGGTCGGCCAGCTCCGCGTAGTGCCCGGCCTCGTGCCCCTCCAGGGCAGCGAGCGGGAAGTAGTCGCTCTTGGCGCCGCGCGACGAGCTGCCCGTTGTCCCGTTCGAGGAATTGGAGCCCTCGCCGCCGCCGTCGCTTACGTGCTCGCTGCGGTTTTGCGACCGCGCACCAGCTCCAGGAGCACCATTCCGAAGCTGTACACGTCGGTGCGGTCGGTGATGGCGGTGTTGCTGAGCCACTCCGGCGCGAGGTACCCGCGCGTGCCCCTCATCGTCGTGAAGAGGCCGGACTGCTCCGGCGTGAGGAATTTCGCGAGCCCGAAGTCGGCAATCTTCACCTGGCCGCCGTCCGCGAGCAGGATGTTCTCCGGCTTGACGTCGCAGTGGATGATCCTCTGGTCGCAGCCGAAGTGGAGGTACGCCAGGCCCCTCGCCGCCCCGACGGCGACGTCCATCCGCTCCTTCCATTCCAGCAGAGGGCCGGTGGGCCGGAACAGCGACCGGTCGAGGGAGCCGCGGTTCATGTACTCATACACGAGGAGGCGGCGCTGGCCCTGGGTGCAAAAGCCGCGGAGGCGGACGAGGTTGATGTGGTGGATGTTGCCAATGACGGCGATCTCGGTGCAGAACTCGCGCTTGCCCTGCATCCCGACGCCCTCGATCCTCTTCACGGCCACCTCCGAGCCGTCCGGGAGCTCGCCTTTGTACACGGCGCCGAACCCGCCGGCGCCGATCTTGATGCGGAAGCTGTTGGTCATGTCCTCGATCTCGTCGTGCGTGAACCTGGTGGGGAGGCCAGGGATCACGATGTCGTCGTCGTCATCGTCAATATCCCGCACCAGGTGCGCTGAGTCCGACGGCGAGCGCTGCCGCCGGAGCTGCTGATCTCTGGAGCGCGACGAGCGCCCCACTTCCTTACGCCACGCCCTGATCACGGTAGCGCTGACGACGACGATGAGCACAAACGCGACCATTGTTGGGAGGAGGATGGCAATGAGGGTGCTTTTTGAGGACGAATTGCTCGATGGTCTCGATAGCTGCGAGCTCTGGACCTTGATGTAGCCGAGCTTGTCGGAGGCTTTAGTGGAGTCGGCATTCATGAAGGAACCGAGCTGGTGCTGCACCAAGTAGCAGGACAACGCCGAGTTGTCGTAGAAGTAACCGAGGCATGAGCAGTTGCTGGTACACAGAGTCTGGCATGAGGAAACGTTGTCGCCGGACACGGTCGGCGGTGCCAGCTTGTTAGCGAAGTACTCGACGCCATTGCCAAGGCTGAAGTACGAGACCGGCAAGCTGTTATTGCCACCGCCAACAGTGCTGCCGCATGAGGAGACGGACAGCGGGGCGGAGCCGTCAGACGGCGTGCAACCACCGTCGCGCGACGCCGCGAACAAGGGCGGGCACGTGCACCCCTTGGGCGTGCAGAGCCCCAGCGCGCCACAGGATAGGGGCAGAGCGCATCCATCGCTCGGCGCCACGAACCCGCCGTCCATCGGCGAGTTAGATGAGTTCGCCGACGCGAAGCTTTCTATTTGCAGCTTCCCATCATATCCCAGCCTAACAACTCGCAGCTCGGCTGCAGGCAACGAGACCTGGATGACGACCCCGCCGTCCGCCGCGAGCAGGTACATCCCAGTGCCGTTCACGGCCATGTACGCAACGGTGCCGCTTCGGTCCACGGTGGAGCGGGCGTCGTTCGAGAGCCGCCAGTACATGGAGCCCATCCACGTGAGCAGCACATCGGCCGCCGTCACGTTGAGCCGGTAGTCCCCCTCGGAGAAGTCGGAGTCCGAGGCGGCGGACGCCAGGAAAGCCCCCGCGGGAAACCGCTGCGACGACACGATCGAGTCGGTGGGGCGGTCGAAGGACTGCCACAGCGTGGCGTTCCTCGCGTCGAGCAGCGCGAGGTTGCCGTGGTCGTCGAGCCGGAGAGCAGCCACGGGAGTCTCGAACGGCGGCGTGGACCAAATGGTGGTGACGTTGGGGTCCTCGATGGAGATGCCGTTGGCCGTGAGCTGCAGCGGAGCGGCGCGGTCGGTGATGGGCGCGGCGCGGTTGGCGACCCAGATGCAGGTCTTGGACGGCGCGTGGAGCACGGCGAGGTAGAACCGCTCCAGCTGGCCCCCCGGGTTGTAGACCACGGCGTGGAACGCGCCGCTCGGTGACGTGAGGAACGCGCCGTAGCTGTCTTGGAAGAGCAGGTACGACGCCGTGAAGTCCGGGGTGAGGAGCTCCGTGGCGACCCTGCCGCCGCGCGCCCGGTTTAAGGCGACGCCGAGGAGGAGCAAGACGGCGAGGTGGAGACGCGTCGGCGGCATCGGTGCGCCCGTGGATCGGCGCGCTCATGGCATTGGCTTGGGGGACGGGGAGACGTGATGCGTGGGGCGTGGCGGAGGCATGGCGGACCGGGGTAGGTTGTGTTCGGGGCTCGGGAGTTGACTCGAGCGCCATTGGCCGCGCTGGGATCTGGGGGCGCTGCTGGTGCTGGACGGCACAAAAAAATAATGCAACGCGACGACGACTTGCGGCTGGTGCTGGCGTGCCGCGTCGTCGGCGTGCAGGTACACCGTGCATCTGCCGCCGTCTGTTTCGTCTCCGCTGAATAAAATTTGGGCGGGGTGACGGTGCCGCCGGCAACGGGTGAGTTTGAATGTCGTGCGCTAATCGGTGGCAGCGTGTGCAGATAGATTTTTTTATGGTGTTTAAGTTTGGTGTCTTACCAGGAGCCAGCAGCACAGCAATGGAAAGTAGTCTGATTAGCGGCTGATAAAGAAACAGAGCTGAACTCGTCAGGATTCAGTTCAGGATCGGAAACACTGATCATTCGAAGTTGCCTTTTGAGAGAAGGAAACAGCACAAGATTGAGTTCGTATATTCTGAATCTGACCCTTTTGTGCACTACTGCCATTCAGTAAACCATATGATGCTTGTACTTGAAACTTAGCAAAGAAATCGACTGTCTAATGATTGTCCACTGGAAACGAGGCAAATTAGACACCAGCCGTGTTTGATTTACTCCAGCGTCATCGTATCACTTGTTCTGCTGACAGTTGCAGCACCTTTGATTATGAAACATTCGGCCTGTTCGTTGGTGGGTTTCTGGGCTGATAAGCTCGGCTGATGCTGGTTTGTTGTGAGAGGAAAACACTGTTGGCTGGCTGATAAGCCCTGACTGAAACCAACAACCGAACAAGCTGATTATCTGAAGACGTGTGCTGGCCGACTCCACTAAAGCTGATTATCTTTGGGTTAGTGCGTTGTGCTGCTCCACGCGTTTACAGCCTTGCGACGCAGGCGGAACGGCAAATACTTCCGCAGAGCGCTTGCGCGGAGGGAGCCATGTCATCCATGATGCATTCCTGATTCACAGATTCAGTGATTCTTGCTGCCTCTCCTCTCGCCCCAGCCAACCGCCCACGGCCATTTGTTTATGGGGCAACGCCCGATTCCGCGCTCCCACCCCTCCCAGATCTCGCGGAGACGACGACGCGGGAGCTCACATGCCACATGACATCACGCGCCCCAGGGCGGTTCGCAATTGGCCTACTACGTGCAATGCAAGTGGGCGTAAAACTAAACCTGAACTCACTGATTGCTCTGCCTGTTCTTGGTTGATTGCCGGTAAGAAATGGACTGCCTGGCTCGTTCCAAGAGCTTCTCATGTCAGTTCTCTCGAGCCTCAGCTCACTGCTGATGCTGACAGCATTTGTTTGTGGCTTAAGCCCAGAGGTGTTGGGCACTGTCTAGCTCCCTCGTCGGGGACACGGCACGGCGATGCCATTTTGCATCTGAGACTTGTTTTCATTATCCCCTGGCAAACCTGCAATTGTATTTTACAAGCATCTCGATGCATTGTAATTTATACCAACATGCTGTGAGACAATCGGCTTGCTAGATGAGCTGAGCTGCTCATTCCGTCTCCGCGAGGTTAGATGCATGCATCACGCACGAGCTGCAGATGCTGGTGCTGGCACCGGAGCGAGCTGGGCGGTAGCGTGTGCTGGGAGCAGCAACAGCCGGCTTTCGTGCAGCTCGGGCAGGTTCAGTGACTCAAGTTGGTGGAAGCCATAACCGTCATAATGACTGCTTACCCCTACCCTTATTATACAAGTAGCACAAAACATAATCTAGCTTCTGATTTGACCTTCCCGATCACCAGAGGCTTTACGCTAGCAAGAAAGTCAACTACAACAGAATGTCAGCAAAGCCTAAATCAGAAGTTGCAAAAGGAGGAGTGTTCAGACTTCAGATGCCTGCACGGTTGCACAGGATGAAAAGAAAACATCAAAGCATATCACAAGTTCTCGATCCTGAACCTTAAATATAGTCATCACACAACTTCTAAATCCAGAGACCATGAGGCAATGGCCCTGTAATCCAGTGTATGCCTTATGTGAACAGGAGCTGGAGACGGCAGCCCATCTATGGCCCATTTGGTAGGGCTCCTCTTCAGACTCCTTCAGAGGAGCCCACCAAACGGTTTAACTAGGCGAAGCCGTATAGAGATGTTTTTCGGTAAAAAAAAAAGAGAAACAAGAGCCGTTTTGAAGAAGTCAGGAGCCCTCCCAAATTAGGCTTTGCCTCCACCCTGCAGGCCTCCACTGTTATTCACCAAAGAAATGTGAAAACACATGAGACGAACACACTGGAAACACACACGAGGCCGGATAAGAAGCCAGCTCTTGTTACCGCTCGTTAGGATAACGAGCAAACTCAGTTCGGCTTCTTTTAATGAAATGAGCTACAACTTAAGCTCGGCTCGGCTCATTAATCTTGCGAGCCAGCTCATCAACAAATGTAAACAATATTAGCATAATCAATAGCTTTAGTTACAATATTTGGAAGGAAAGAAACGGACACCCATCGTTGGTAGATTAGATGGTTAACAATATGAATGTGGGCAGATTAGATGGTTAATTAGATGCAAGTAACATGATGAATTTGGGCAATCGATCCGTGCAGCTCGCTGTCGATCTGAGCCCCTCGTCGTTGATCCAAGCCGTGGCTGTGGGCTGTCCCTGTCCGTGCAATAACGCGCGTGGCGACGCGAAGGCAAGGCCTGTCTGTCAGCACACGGAGCTGCTCGGTGGCTGACAAAGAAGCAAAATGACAGCAACAGCACAGTTCCAGCAATGGCAAAAAGGAACATCAAACGACAGCAATGGCAAAAGAGAACATCAAACGAGGTGCACGCTTTAATAAACACCGTAATGTGAAATGTGACTTAGTAAGTATTCCTCGGTACAGGAGGTAAACAAAACCTGCGCTCTAACAGCATTGCTGTCCTACAAATTATTATGCATCAAGCATAAACTTATCCCGGGGCAAAAAAGATCTATTTCACCTGTTTAATGAGTTCCTCTCATCAAAAGGATGACAGACAAATTTTCCGTTAAGACAAAAAAAAAAGATTCGGGAACTAAGCTCGAGTGACTGATAACAATTCCATCCTCCACCAAATATGATCTTAGGGAATACAGAAAAATCAGGCAATGGCTTTTGATTCAGCCTCTGCTGCTGGGGCAGGTGTAACACCTCCCGTTGTTGGGCTGAAACAGAAACAAAACAAAGCATTAATTCGGAATCTTCCGAAAGAACTTGGACGTTGCAGTGATTATTCCTAAAGCAGTAGAGATACTCACAGTCCAACCATCACTTTGAAAGCATCGTAAATTCCCCACTGAGCACCAGTAAGGGTACCAATCATGACGATACGAAGAGGAAGTCCTCTTGTGAAAAGACCCCAGAGACCAAGCTTCTTAACAGCCTGCAAGAATACAACAATATATAACCAATAGCTAGTACTCCCTCCATCCCAAATTGTAAGACGTTTGATCTTTTTGGCCTTAAGTTTGACCACTCGTCTTATTTAAAAAATTTGTGCAAATATAGTCAAATTTAAGTCATTCTTGAAGAATTTTTATTAATAAACCAAACCACGACGAAAGAAGTGATATTTTACACAAATTTTTGAATAAGACGAGTGGTCAAACTTGGTGTCAAAAAAGTCAAACGTCTTACAATTTGAGATGGATTGAGTAAGTACAAGCAGGCGATATATGTTTTGATGCAAAAGCTAGAATATATGCTTACATCGCCCACTGTAGCACCCTTGGCATTGTTCAGGAAAGACACGAGGTTGTCAGCCGGGTGAGACACAATAGCACAGAAGACACCAGCAATGTAACCGCCAGCAAAGCTAATACCCAACTGGGTAGTCTTGCTGCACTCGGACTTCGGAACAGGCACAGCATGCTTGTAGATAAGCTCAACGATGGTCTCAAAGGAAGCAAACTTCATCATGGTATCTGCATACATCATACAAAGTGCAGCGGGTGAGTACAGCTGATTGTAGGAAAGTTTATTTTCCTGGTTACACAAAATAGAGACACAGTATGACTAAAGCTGCTACTATGGGCAGTCAGGTGGGGCAATGACATTACTGCTATCGATAAAATGGCATGGTACATAAAAAAAAATGTACACAGGACTACTTATAAAAACAAGCCTTGACTGAAAATTGGCGAATGGCAATTCTGGATCCAGAAAACGGTATCTAGGAAGCACCTGACTTCAAGGTGGAAAACCTCTACTAGAGAACTACAACGTGGACAGCATTTTTCGTAAGACTTCAAATTTTCAATCAAAATGGAAATTTCAACCATAGTTGCTAGCGATTTCAGCTGAAACTCAGATACAAAACTTAAATAGTACGAAATCTAACCATCCTAGAGCCACATGCTGCATAGCCATTTACGTGCAACAGATTAATACATTTTCGTTCTGACACAGATTAAAAAAAAAGGTACTTTTTTCACAAATCATGTGTCAATGTCCTAGATTTTGTGAGAAAGGTGAACTGAAATACAATTGTTACGGGCAACTATAAAACGAACGTTTGGGATAAACCCTATAAAGTGGATCAATAAAAATATAAGAGTCAATGGCCATCCAGAATACAGAATGGATGAGAATTATCATAAAGCTGAAATGCATGATATCTAGGAAAGCATACAAAAAAAAAGTTTGGGTTCACAAGAAGTCAAGACATCAAGTGAGTTGTGCCACACAAACAAGATTAGTGTTTGAGCATTCAGTTTCAAATGTTCAATGGTTTTGCAACAGTCATTTAATGCACACGATTAAAAACAAAAAGAAAGCTGTACTAAATAAAGATGATAAGAAATATCTACTTACAAGGAATCTGACGACCCCAGAGAGGAACAATTCCCTTGTAGAGCCTAAAATCATTAAGCAGCAAGAACTGTTAGGACAGATGGACGGAAACCAAGTCTCACAACGATAATTTTTTAGTCAG